CAGCGTATTCACCAAATTTTTGATACGTCCGGCATACGCTGGCTAAATCGTCAATGTGTGACAGGGCCATAAGGTCCCGTGGGACATGAAACACCTAATAACACCTGGAAACAACGACCACCATAAAGGATAACACTGGTAACTGCCTGCTTTCTTCCTTGGCTGCAATGTACTGACTTGGAAAGGGATCAAATCAACAGAAACGTCGGTGCTAAATGAAAACAAGAGCCGCAGAGCGTCTGGGCTCATCTGAGGTCCGTTTCTACGGTTATAAACATAACATTTAAGTCGTGCGTAGTGACACCTTTGTTAGGCGCAGATATGCAGATACGCAGTTGCGTACACATCATTTCAGCAACCTTCTGCATTCTGCATACCTCCCAAATCCCATTGGTTGATACAAATCGCATGCCTGAAACTCCTGTTTTATGGTGCATTGTGACCCTAACCCTATTTGTTTTTTTAATTGTTGTAAAAATTATTTGTTGTTATTAAATTGTTGTAAATAAATAATGTAAATATTTGAGTTAATTGAAAAAAAATAGTTAAATGGATAAAGATAGAAAAATACAGAAAACAGGTAAATAATAAAAAATCGGATGGGATTCGATCCAACGACCTTTGAGCCGTGACGCCTGTGCTGTACCCGTTCGGCTATCCAGGCTTATTGAGTTTCTAGATTATGGATGTGCCATGAATATGACAACACTGTCACGTCATTGAGGCAGATGAGGAATCCATGTTTAACCCTCCTTTTGAGAGTCAAAAGGTTATCAGACACTTCACACGTCAGTGGAAAGCACATTTCATGGTCATCTCAATAAAGTGATAAAACTGGTGCACTGGTGATGGGTTTCCTGCCCATCACACTATACACCGAATATTAAGAGCATAGGTCGAGCCGTTAAGATTTGTGCCCAACTGTTGACGGACGCACGCACGCACGGACGATCATGCGATTCTACAAGCTGCATCTGACTACGTCAGATGAGCTAAAAAGGGAGTGGATAGACAACAAACGAAATCCAACTTACGTGCAACCACAACCACTCCAAGGAATCGAGGTGGCGTCTCACACCACAACGGCATGGGGTGAAATAAGATGATGCTACATCAAGACTGCTTGTGACAACCGAAGGGGAGTGTCATACCGCAACGACTTAGCACATATTAAGGTGGCATCACGCCGCAACTGCCCGAGACCAAGTGATGCGGTATGTGCTGGCTAGGGGCAAGTAATCGCAATCGCTGAGGGAAATGCTACGGAGTGCCGTCGTACCTTCTCGATGAGTTCGATGGTTGGCTGAAGGTCGAGACCAAAGTCGATAAACTTCCACTCGATGCCCTCGCGCTGGTACTCCTCCTGCTCTAGCACAAACATCGTGTGGTTGAACAGCTGCTGCAGCTTCTCATTCGTGTAGTTGATGCAGAGCTGCTCGAATGAGTTGAGCTGTCGATGCGAGGAGAGAAGAAAGGGATGGTTAACTACAATGTATACATGCATTAGTGCACACGTGTGTGCGCGTGTACGTGCATGTGTATGCCTGCGGGCACTCGCATGCGTGAAGGTGGGTGTATGTATACCTGTGTGTGTGCACGTTTGGTGACACACTCCTTCCCCTTTATCTTTAGTTTACCTTTTCCAGTTTTCCCTTCTTGTATGCCAGTACGCTTGACTCATTTAGGTAAATGATACAATTGTACCTATTAAAATGTTGGGACTACACATACACATCTTTGATTAATTAATAAGCATTCTTTATGCAGCGCTGTTGGCGACTGCTAGAACTGACACACTGTATCATTTAGAAGTGCATACCTTACTGCCATATGCACATCAGTTTGTTCAATTTCACTGCGCATTACTTAACAAACCAGGCTGCCTAATTTTGTTTTGGAGGGTACCACAGTGGTGACACTCGCAACGCACGGAGGCCTTCGCAATACTCACCTCAAATATCTCAAAGCCGGCGATGTCGAGGATGCCGATAAAGGATGCCCCCTGTCGTTTAGTGCGGTCGAGCGACTTGTTGATGCGCATCACGATCCACTTGAACATGCGCTCGTACGTCGCCTTGCCAATTGCCTCCACCCCAAACTCCACCTAGTGGCGATGAATGCAAAATTAGATAGGCATTGGCAAAGATTCGCATTTCAGGACGGATGAGTGGGGAGTATATGCTAATAAAGTATGTGGTATGTGGAATATGCAGGTAGCTACAAGTGAGGTGGGTGGTAGTGGCAGGTCAGAGTTTAAGAGTAAGGTGAATGGGTGGCATCAACTGGGTGCAAGTACAATGAACGGTGTTCATCTAACCAACCTCTACTTATGCGGATTGAGACAGGCTACTAGATGAACACACCACATGCTCACCCCACAGCCAGCATACTGTGGTGGGTACCATATATGCAAGGCATAGACAAGGCAAGGCACATGATGTCACCTTGATGTTAGTGAAGGTAGGTTGGCTCGAGGAAGGCTAGTGGGTGGCTGGCTAACTGTACAGTGTACATTCTACACACCTGCTCCTTGCTCTGCGCCTTGTGCACGTAATCACGGCCGACCTTGAGCCTGGGTTTCAGGAGCGACCTCACCATGTCAGTGACCTGAATGCCCAGCAGATGGCATATTTTCTGTGCAACCGTGTTATCTGGCAGTGTTGCCTGGTCAGTCTTACGCTCCTGCTGGAACTCCATGTTGCCAAACTGCAGCGACGCGGACACGACGCGGAAAACACCTGCAGAGGTGAGACAGCACATCTGTGACAACTAATCACAAGTCCCTTATATCATGAGGAAACGAGTGAGATAGAACCCATAACATGACTCAGTCAACAAGCAATTAAAGGTGATCTCAGAACTGCAAAACCATCAGACGATAATTGAAGGCTGAAGTTGAGCATAACTTGCCTTGTCAACCCTCACCTGTCCATGGCTAGATAATCTTGTCAGTGTACATATTAGCATGTACCTATAGCCAACCCTTATCTACCGACATATTCTTGTGGCCGAACATACAGATTGCCAAGCACTTTGTTAACCATTAAGTGTCAATGCTTGGTTAGATAATCTTGCCATAGCCACTGATCATTATTTTTTATCTTATCCACTAACTAGGAATGGGACGATACGGGTAGCTGACAACATAATCCGTATCACGATAAACCTTTCACGATACAATAATCAATATATGTATCGCGATATTTTCAAGGGAAACTACATAGCAAACTATACACATAACTGGTACTCTAGCAAATACGTGAATGCTTCCAAAAATCAGTATCGTGGAGCGCTTAGTAAACAACTGCTAGTGAACATACTGTGAATTG